TGATATTGGAGATGTAGTGCCAATATGTCAGACGATTTCCACTTGTAAAATAGACTGATATTCTTTTAAACAGATAGAAGTCGTGAATAAACAATGAGAATTAGAGCCAAGTACTATAGTCTTTAAGCATCATCTATTGTATTTGTGAAGAAGGCGGGTGGATCCACGAGATTCTGCGTGGACTGCTAGAAGGTGGATGATATTACACAGAAGGCCACTTACCCAATGACAAGAATTTACTCTACTTTGGATATTCTATCTAAATCAACACTGGATCTTATGAGTGTACATTGGTAAATACACACCAATGAAACAAGTTGAGAGAAGACAGTTAGGAAATGGATTGTTACAATTTGTTGTGCTATCATTTGGATTACGTATATCACCTGCTTCATCTCAATGATTAATGGAGCAAGTTCTCTCTCTGAATTACCCTAGAATGTCGTATTCATTTAATTGGATGAAATAATCGCTTAGGGAAGAACTTTGATAATGCTTATGATGGGCTAAGGGAAGCCCTGGATCGATTTTGGAAAGAGAACATTAAGCTGAATCCCAAGAAGTGTGAATTATTCCGTCTACATGCTAGTTTCCTAGGACACATGTTCAGCGTAGAAGGAGAGTGAACAGACCCATCTAAGATTGACTCTGTCTAGAATTGCTAACACCAAAGAGCCTACATGAAATAAGATGATTTCTTAAATTTTGCTCTTATTATTGTACAGAAATTTGTATAGTCTTTGGCATAAAAAAAAATTAACCAGGACAACAGGTCTTTATCTATCTTCTAATAGCATGGTGGAGAGGTACAGCTATATACTTTTAAACCAATTAGTTACTAGATAAGCATAAGAAAATGTGGGATTAAGATCTTCTACTGCTAGTTATGAGTTATTAAACAGCAGTACATAAAGCTGTAGACAACACACCATCATCACAGATGTTTTGGAGAAAGAACTAAAGTACTACTGAACATTTTGTACCCATATCCAGAGGACAGTTACTCAGGAGTCTTACAAAGAAATTACATAAAGACTATGAACACCATTGATGTTATTCATGACTTTAACCTGTAAAAACTGAAACCAGCTTGTTTGTAAAATTAAAATTCACTATTATATTAATGCTCATAAGACTAGATTTCATTGAGGTGATTGTATGGTTGTACAATCCCTGCTGCAAGGAAGGACAAACTCCAAAGTTAAGAAGATGTTGAAAAGAGCCACGTGTTATACTGAAAATAATCAATGATGTGGTTTACAGAATCCAGAAGTACAGGTGGTCGAAGCTATAGGTCATCCACTGTGATCGTCTTTGGAAGTATGTTGTGAGAGAATGGCTAAATGGGTATTTTTCAGAGAGGAATTTCCCTGCAGAAAGTCAACCTGTTGAAGAGCTCAGAGTTCTCGTCGAGACTATTTCCAGAGTATCATGAAGGATGGAGCTGCCAGTGGATTTGCTCAAATACTTACTTAGAGAGTACTCCACCCGTGACAGAATGGTACGTGATGACCTCTTGTTCCTTATCATCACATCTGCATACCATAACACTCAGAGAGGGAAACCACCAAAAAAGACTTGGTGAATGAACAGTGTAGTGTATTTTTTTTATCAGTATATTCAGAATGTTCAAGTGATGTCAAAATAATTGAAAAGCTTCATTTAATATCTAGAGATAAGGGAACAGTATTCATAACTACGAGTAATCTTTTAGTTTAAGAGTTTAGTGGCAGAAAAGTTTTTCAATATTAGAAGTGAGTTTTATCACATCTATTCAGTTACACGAATTATTATGATAAAATTCTGTAAGCTTATTTGTGAGTTAGGTATAAATATCCCTAATCAAGGAAGTTTCTGTTAAATATTAGCATATTAGACCTACAGTAGTTACATTAATATCTGTTCAAAGGTTTTCCATTGGTAGCTTGGTTCACAGATGAAAGTGACTACAGAAAACATTAAAGAAAGTAAATGAATTTGTTAGTGTTACGTTGATTGGATCTCGCATTATGTTGACTAAATAATCCACCCAATGATAGAAAATGTTATTACAATAACACATTTTTTAAGTTAAAGTAATTAAGAGCGTGTGATAATATACACACACACACGTTTATAACACTGTGACCTTTACAAGTTGCAACATTATTATTACATTTTAGTGTTCTCTGTACTCTGCTCACCGCAGGTATCGAAACCCGGTTTCTAGCATTTAAGTCCGCAGACATACTTATAATGTGAGGATCAACAAGATGAATTACAAAGTAAGTTTGAATTTAACTAAACTGAGTTCAAGCAAAGAAATAAACAGATTGGACACACGTGTTATACAAAATGAAAAATATCTTTATTTGAATCAGTGAACAAATACAGTGTGCATACATGGGTTAGAACATTGGATGGTTGCCTGCTAATGGACTTGTAAATGATAAACATATGTTTTCCCTCAAGATGTCTTTACATCAACCAACTTATTGAGATCGTGTGTAGACTGTCTTAATGTATTACGTGGACATGTGTATTTCCATCATTTTTAGTGATATAGGAATTTTTAAAATTGTTGTGTTTAGTCTGCTTCTATGCATTTTTGGCATAAGTACATGGTCCAAAAAAAAATTGAAATTATTTCATTCTACTTGCCTTTGGTGCTCTTTACAGCAGATAGTATCTATTCTGCCCAAGGTGATGTTGCAGTACCTACGCACATCTGTGTACAAAGGGTCAATGACTGTAATGTTACAACCAACTGATTTTGTGAAAGAATAACCAGTCACACGGTGATTATCAACGAAAGGATACAAGATTTCTTGCAAGATCAGACCATCTATACTATCATAGTTCTACTTGGCAGGAATGGAAGGAAGAAAGAGGAAAAGAAAAAGGAAAGGAAGAGAGAAGGAAAGATTATTATTATTAATAAAGTTGCTAGTCAAAATTTGCTTGTTGTGCAAAAATTCCAGATATACAAGGAAGACAGAAAGGGGCATAGGTGAAAACAGTAGGATTTGATACGAAAAAGTAGACTTTGAAAGAGAGAAAAACTGATCCAAAACTTTGACCGATAGGAGGTTTGTTTGTGATTAAGCACAAAGCTACACAAAAGGCTATCTGTGCTCTGCCCACCACAGGTATCGAAACCCGGATTCTAGCGTTGTAAGTCCGCAGACATACCGCTGCGCCACTGGGGGGGGGGGGCAATAGGAGGCATGCAGGGGATGGCACCAGAGCCTGGAATTTATCTGAAGGGCCGTGTAGACAAGTATGGAGTAAAGTAGAAAAAATGATGATAGTTCAAAAATATTAAGACTTAGTAATATTAATGTTGAAAAAATATCAATAAAATAATACAAAGCACACACTTTAAAAAGTTTTAGAATTTATTGTGAATATTATTAAAATAATAATTGACATTAAATAACACACACACTAAGGCAAGAGAAGAAATTAAAAAGAAAAAAACAACTTAAGACAAAGTAATTTGTAAGACGCCACAGCCCATCCAACTATAAGTAACTGTTTATTCCAGGATATTTTTCATTCCTCCTTTTTTTTAAACCAGTGACAAATTAATTAAAGGACATCAAGATAATAACCTGAAATTTGAAAGTAAACAACAACAACCGGGAAAAATTTCTATCATGTACCGCTATCCAAATACTTTCATTTTAGGTTTAATAATCAATACATCAACATATATTTTGGGTTTACATGTTATTAGCTTTTTTGAGACTGAAAATATGCCTAATTGAAATCATCGTTACTTTGTAATTAATTATCTGCTTTTAATAGTTGGAAGAAATTAACGTGAATTGATTTTTCTGAAAAGAATTATATGTAATTATTTTATCCAAAGCTTTACGTTTCTTAACGGATTTTGTTTGTACCAGTCATGAAATATTAATTTTAGTTTATTTATTTATTTGTTTATTTTTTTAATTTCGCGCAAAGCTACACGAGGGCTATCTGCGCTAGCC